ATCGGTCAAACCTACGGAACCCATGCACAGATTAATTACTGAAAATAACAGATAAAATATAAAGTTTTCCCTAAGAAATGATTGATAACTATCTGGACATTATAAAGATTTCACATGTGAAATTTTAAAACTTTCTGATGCATAAAATATTTTTAATATTAAAATGAAAATTACTTTGCATGATGTGAAAAGAAAAACAAACCTTAAGACTTCATAAAAAAAGTTTGATATTATAGCATGAAAACTATAACAAGCACAAAATGGTTATGAGATCAGTCCTAGGGACCGAACCTGTGCTGAAAGAGTTAAAAGGGAAGACAAAAAAAATCTATAAATGAAAAGTCAGAATGATTCTCTCATCAAGTGACCAATAAGAGGTGCAGATTAAGAATTTATTTTAACATTTTCTTTTGAAATTAGGAAATTAAAACTTAGGTAATATAAAAAGCTTAATTGTAAACTAAGTTTTGATCCAAAAAAAAAGGTTTGTTAATATACATTGATAATAAAGTGGTTTAATTACATTTTTAATGTAACTATGAAGGATTGTGACATGCACACCTTGACTCCTGAGTGCATAGGGTTAAGGCAAAGCTAGAGCTAGAATTAATTGCATCATTGATCATTATGGTAGAAGAATCATAATCTTATGCCTTTTCTTCATCTCTCCCATCAAGGGGAACTTATAGAAATTTTCATAAACTTGGGAATTTAGATGTTATCTTACATTTTGTCATTTGTTTTTACAAGTGATAGTTTAAGTACTTACTCGCTAATTGAGCAGTAGGTTTTGGATAGTACCCTTATAAATCCAGTTTAGACCATAACTAGTCTAGACTTTGGTCTTGAGTGTAGTAACCTACCTAATATAGGTCTTTATGATAGAGTAATAACCTTACTAAACTAGAACTTAGTTTTTGGTTAGTAATCTTACCAATTTAGAGTTTGATCTTGGGCATAGTATTCTTTTCAGACTTGACAATAGACAACCATAATCTCAACAACCAGGGCCGTAGTCTTTGAGTAAGCTTTTATTCCATTCTAGATGTTGGTTTATGGGCAGTAATGTCAGCAAGTAAGAGTAAAAGTGATTCACTGATGGATGTGATTGTGAAGAACATGCATTAAAGCATATTACTTTTTTACCATACAAATGCACTCACAAATGCATAAAGAGAAAAATATACACAAGTTAAAATGCATTATGCCTGGTTTGCCTGTGAAATTTACAAAATAGTGAAATTTAATTTCTTTGGTGTATATAATGTATGTCATATAGTTTTTGTTTAGACATGTGTTAACATGTTTTTATAGCAAAGCTAGGTCTATCAGGCATTTTTTGTGCCTTCTGTCTGTTTAAAATGAAATATAAGCAAACAACTCATATTTGCCAACAAAAATGATGCCATGACCAGGCTGCTAACAGCAATTTCAGTACAGTTTCAAAAGTACCAAATCTTAGCAGTTGAACTAGGTTGATGACAGAGTTTGCCATTTGGTAGTACTTTTTGTATCCTTAAATGTCTGTATATATATATATATATATTTATATATATATGTGTGTGTGTGTGTGTATATATATGTGTGTGTGTGTGTGTGTATATATAT